ATATATATATATATAGAGAGAGAGAGAGAGAGAGAGAGAGAGAGAGAGAGAGAGAGAGAGAGAGAGAGAGAGAAAGAAAATGAGATTGATTGATTGATATACATATAGATATCTATAAATAGATAGATATATATGTGGACAGACAGATATAGATGCAGATACTCTATCGACGTAACCAGCATTTATTTCCATTGATTCCCGAACCAAAGAACCAGACTGGGCTCCGCGCATGCCGACGGCCAGTGGATGCGCCGGCGAATGGTTTTGAGGTTTAGGGGCGCATCGAGCTTTGTTTATGGTCCGGGGCCTTCATGCACCTGCTTAATGACCTTGATGACGTCGTAAACTCACTTAATGGGCCCTTAATTGCAGTCCATTGTTTTTTATTTATCGTTTAATCACGTCTCCGTTTTCTATTATATAATCGCTTAGTTTCCTTCATCTCCATAGACCTATTGTCTTGTTAATCTCTCGCCGCCATTAATCTTTATCTAGAGAGATGATTCTTAATCTGTTTTGGAACCCTGTTTGTGGGAGCTAATGTTTATGTGCAGTCGCGTGCGATTATTAAATTTCACTGAATACTCGCTCTCTCTCTCTCTCTCTCTCTCTCTCTCTCTCTCTCTCTCTCTCTCTCTCTCTCTCTCTCTCTCTCTCTCTCTCTCTCTCTCTCTCTCTCTCTCTCTCTCTCTCTCTCTCTCACACACACACACACACACACACACACACACACACACACACACACACACACACACACACACACACACACACACACACACACACACACACACACACACACACACACACACACACACACACACACTACACACACTCACTGCCACATGATCAATTCTCGATTATTTATATATAAAAAGTGCAAGTAAAAACAAAAATAAAAAACAGCGGCGAAACATCGGTAGGTTAGGAGTGTTAGACGCCCCCCCCCTTCTCCGCAACTGTCCTCCCCCGGCCCGTAAAAATGGCGCCGTAAAACTAGCCCTGCGCTGTATTGCTCCCGTTGTGTATTTCACTTTCCTTATTGGGGAGGGGGGGGGGGGGAGGAAGGGGGTCATCTGACTTTTCTATCTTTTTTTTAGGGTGTCTGTTTTTGGATTGTTGCTTTTTGTTATTTATTTGTTTTGTGTCTCTCATATCCTTTCGTGTTTCGTTTTTATGTCACGTATCTCTTTGCGTTGCACTATTTTGTAGAACCACTAAGTCAGCCCCTTAACCCCAGCTGTTCCCAGGACTAACGACATCTCATTAACACCCCATTATTGTCACTACAACACCCGCCTCACCATCCCATTACCGTTAACATCACCATTTTTTCACTACCAATTTACGACGCAATCCCGCCACTACAGAAACTCTCGTCACCACCATTTTCTTCGCTGTCCCCATAACTACTCCGTGTGACAGACAGCTGCCATTTTGACTTTACTTTTTTTATTTTTTTTTAACACTTGTTGGAAAGGGAGCGGCATATATGCCTGGTATAGGCCTATGTGTCTATCGTTTTTTATGTCTGAGTATGTTTATGCGTGTTATGCGTCTCTTTGTAAGCGAAATGCGAGCTAAGTGTAATACAGAAGTTGTCGTGTTTGACTTACGGTGCTAACGAACTCTGGTATGTGATTTAAAAGGCAGTCTCCATAACATTTACTTGGAACTGATTTAAAGATAAAAATAATGGGGCTGCTGAGCCTGAATACTTTCCAGAACCAATAAATTCGATACGTTGACCAACTTTTAAAAAAGTGGTATGATCCCCATTGTCCTTCCTTTTATATACAGGCACTCTCGCTTTCCGCCAAAAAAATGAAAAAAAAAGTTAAAAACGGAAACTCTAGAATGAAGCACCCGTTGAGTTTTACAAAGCGTTGAGTGAACGTGTAAAAACATATCCGTCACTTTTACATGAAGTGTTTTGGACCCGTGCACTGCACTCTCTTCTCTCCCGTTGTGCAGCTGATATTGTCTCCCGGAATGACTATAAACAACGTGTTGTTGCCTCGACGCGTGCAGTAACTTTTTTTTTTAGATTTTGTTTTGCTTATTTATCTTGACTTTTGTGGCTATGTTGTGATAGATATATTAGTTAACTTATTTTGATTGATTTATGTCTCATAATTGACGTCAACTGCTCTTTTGGTCTTCAACCGCTTGCATACTCGGCCATTTGCCTCCCCTTCTCTGACTTTCGGATGATTGCATTGCTGTTAGTTTATGGCCACTCGAGAGTTTAATAAACTCTTGGTATTGCACATTGGCACGCTTACGGGCGCTTATGTATGTTCGCATATTTTAGAGAGAGAGATGAGATGAGAGAGAGAGAGAGAGAGAGAGAGAGAGAGAGAGAGAGAGAGAGAGAGAGAGAGAGAGAGAGGAGAGAGAGAGAGAGAGAGAGAGAGAGAGAGAGAGGAGGGGATAGCGAGAAAGGGGGAAGAGAGAAAAATAAATAAAGTACAAAAAGAAATAAGCGAGTGAGAGAGGACTGGAAGCACGCATCCGCTACTCCTGATTTCCTTTGATAATTCGAGCGTCATCCGTTTTTCTTGGCGTTATCAGTACCAGAACGAAAGAAAAAGTACCATACATAAAAAAACTTTTCTATAATATGCTTATAAATTTCTGGTTTTGTTGGCTTTA